CTAGATGCTGGCTAGCTAGCTGCTGGCTAGCTAGCTAAAGTTTAGAGCGGAAACTGCGCAGCCAGCGGCTGCGCTGTGCTGTTCCCTCAGGTACAATGGGATGCTGCAGGCGGAGACGGGGTCAATTGAAAGGTCTGCTGCTGCTGCTTTGGTTGATTGTGCTGCTGCTGCCGAGGCCCTAAATCTAATCGTAGACAGGAATTCCTCAGGGAAACCCCAGGATTCCAAACTCTTATATTGCTGCTGCTGCTACTGCTGCTGCAGAGATTTTCACCTGCTGGCTGCTCTGAAAGAATCTCTTGAAGCGCTGAAGATCCTGGAGACGATGACGCAGTAGCAGCACAAGCAGCTGCAATGGACGGCAGCAGCAGCAGCAGCAGCAGCTGAGAAATGCTGTAGCGGCAGGAGCAGGATTGAAGTGCGCAGGTGCAGCAGCAACTGCTGCAGCTGCTTTGGGACTCTTCACCGCAGCACCTGCTGCTGCTGCCATGTGTATACTGCGGGCAGCAGCACAGCCGGCTGCTTGGTGCTGCCGCTTCAGCGTGTTGAAAGCAACAGCAGCAACAGCAGCAGCTGTAGCAGCAACAGATTATCTATGTGCTCCCTTGCAACTTGTCATTTTATGCATTGTTTTGCGTGGGGCTTTTGCGCATGCGCTTTCCACAAGTAAATAGCCTTAGTCCTACGCCTAAGATAAAAATGGGCTGCAGCAGCAGCTATTGCTGAAGCTGCAGCAGCAGCAGTTGCAGGGGTGCTGCTGCACGCCCGTCGCTGTCGCAGCAGCAGCAGCTCCTGCTGCTGCAGTGTCCCTTAAATCTGGTATCCCCCCGCAACACCAGCAGCTCATGCTGCGGGCCGCCACGTTACATTTAAATCACTCGCTGCTTCTGCTGCTGTAGCAGCAGCAGCAGCAGCAGCAGCAGGTCAGGGACTTGCGCCCCTGCTTGCCGAGGCTGGTGCTGCTGCTGCTCTGCAGTTGGTGCGGGCCTACCAAAAGAGGCTGACGGCGACGGCAGCAAAGGCCACAGCAGCAACAGCAGCAGCAGCAGGAGTTGCTGCTGCTGCTGCATTCATCTTGTGATTCAAGGGGTTGCACATCGCCACAACGTTCTGAGACGACAAGTCCACTTGGTTGCGGCAGGAAACGTACGAGACCTGCGCAGCAGCAGCAGCAGCAGCAGCAAAAATGACAGCAATGCAGCCACTGAAGCCGATAAAGAAACAAAATATGTGGAAAATCGAGGCAAAAGGCAAAAGAAAACACCGGAGGCGTGAGGAAGATAAGAAGATAAGCAAAAGAAGAAAAACTGAAACAAAAAGAAACAAAAAGAAACAAAAAGAAACAAAAAGCTGCAAGGAAAAACAAAAACAGGAACTATTGAGCAGCAAACTGTGCCAATGGCCCCAGCCAGCCGAAGGCCGCAGCCATGTGGGAAGAAGGCAGGACACAGAAGCAAGCGAAACAGCTACAGCCAGCTACAGCCATGTACTGCAGCTAGCTAGCTAGCTAGCTAGCTAGCTAGCTTGCTAGCTAGCCTGACGCGAGCCCAGCCAGCTAGCCGAGAACCGCCGTGGCTAGCTAGGCAAGCAGCAGCCGTGTCTAGCTACGCGATCAGCGGACGCCGCAGCTAGCTCGCCAGCCTTAGCTAGCTGGTTAGCCATGGCTAGCTGGTTAGCCGTAGCTAGCTGGCTAGCTGGTAAGCCTTGGCTCGCTGGCTTGCTTGCTAGGCATGGCTAGCTGTCAGCCGTGGCAAACCGGTTCACCATGGCTCGATGGCTCGCTGGCTAGCTGGCTCGCCGGCTCGCTTGCTGCCTAGCTAGCTAGCTGGCTCGCTGGCCAGCTGGCTAGCAGTGTCTAGTTAGCTACCTGGCCAGCTGGCTACCTGGCTAGCTGGTTAGGGGTCTAGGTGGCTAGCTGGCTAGCTGGCTTGCCGTGGCCAGCCAGCCAGCAAGCTGGCTAGCTACCTAGCTAGCTAGCTAGCTGGCTAGCTGGCTAGCGAGTTACCTCGTTGTTGGCCCACTGGGCGTACTGCGTCTCGTCGCAGACACAGGCCCAGGGGTAGTCGTTGTCGGAGGGATACATGAAGTTGAAGTAAGAGCCCTGATTGCCGCCTTCGAAGTTCTCGGCGTTGGCCGTGCTGGAGCCTCCAAACAAAGTGTCCCAAATGCTGCCAATCACGCCCTGCAGCTGCAGCAGCGACGCCTCCAGCTCCTCCCTGCTGCTGCTGCTCCTGCTCTTCCTGCCGCTGCTGCTGCTGGGCTCGTCGCTGCCGCCCGCGCTGCTGCTGCTCTCGTTGCTGCGGTCGCCGCTGCCGTCGCTGCTGCTGGTGTTGCTGCTGCCGTCGCTGCTGAGGTCGCTGCTGCTGGGGCTGGGCGCCAGGGTCGTGCTGCTGCTGCTGCTGCTGCTGCTGCTGCTGCGCGCTTCTGCGCTGGAGTCTGGCGGCTGCTCTGCTGCCTCATCGCTCTCCTTCTTCTTCGTGAACTTGCCCACAATTGGAGGCGCTGAAGACTCACGCAGATATTCAGCAGCAACAAACACGCTCGACTGCTGCTGCTGCTGCCGCTGTTGCTGCTGCTGCTGCTGCTGCTGTGGCTGTGGCTGTGTATGGACTGGTGCCGCTGCTGTCCCTGCGATCGCTTTCTGCGCTGCTTCTTCTGACCAGACGCTTCATGTGCTGCTGCTGCTGCTGCTGCTGCTGTTCATCACAGCAGCTGCTGCGTCCGCTTACCGAGAGCCACTGAGGCCTCCTTTGCCTGCTGTCGCGCTAAGCTGCAGGCCTCTGCCTGCTGATCTGCCTCGCAAACCTCGATTGCGTTTTTGGCCACTTTTGTGGCTTCAGCAAAGTGGAGCTGCTGCTGCTGTTGCAGCACAACCTTCGCAAGGGAGCCCCGGGAAGCCCCCCGAGCCAGCAGCACCTCCAGAGGCTGCCAGTGATCCTTTGCCACTGTTTGCAGCAGCTCTTCAACAGAAAACAAATGAGGCTTGGAGGTCACGTGGGGTTTTTCCGGCTCCTGGGGTGTATCTACATCTTCCTGGGCTGCCCCGTGCAGGTCCAGCAGGGCCGCCGGGGGGGCCCCCAGGGGCCCCTGGGAGGCCCCCTGGGGAGCTGCAGATAGAGGCAGGCCTACGTGGACGCCGCTGCGGTGGTAGGAGAAAGAAGGAGAGGCTGAGCAGCAGAACAAACACAGCAGACAGGGTGCACGGTCTTGCTGCAGCAGGCGCTGGTGCAGCAGCTCTTGCTGCTGCTGCTGTTGCTGAAGCTGACGCTGACACCGGCTCTGCTGCTGCTGCTGCTTCTATTTTTTGCGCGTTGGCGCCGCTGCTGCTGCTGCGGCCGCTGCTCTGCTGCAGCTAGCTCGCAATCGATGCGGGCCGTGAGCGATGAGAGAGGTGTATAGACACCCGACACTTCCAGCAGCAGCAGCAGGCAGCAAATATAAATAAGGCAGCAGCACTAGAAAAGGATGAAATGCGGCTCATAACGCTGCAAAAATCTCGACAGCCTCTTGCCGTTGCTGCTGCAGCAGCTCGTGCTGCTGCTGCCGCTGCTGCGCTTGTGTCCTGCTTTTTGCTGCAACGACTCACACATTAGGCAGAAGCAAAATACCAAAAAGGGGAAAAGAGGCTGCTGCAGCAGCAGCAAGCCTCTGCTCGCTGCTGAGGCCATTGCCATCGCTACACGAAACCGCAGGCTCGAGAACAGGTCATTCTTGCTGCTGCTGCTGTTGCTGCTGCTGTTGCTTTGCTGCTGCACTTGACGCACGAAATGGAGATGCTGGAGTCAAAACTACAAAAGAGTTTGGAAAATGAGGGAGTTTGCATGCTTTTGGTACAGCAGCAGCAGCAGCCCGTTGGCCGAGCTGCTGCTCTGCTGCTGATCTCACAGCCCTCCGCGGCAGCAGCAGCACCACCAAGAGTCACCTGCTGCAAGCCCACGAATTCCGTGCATACGATTCCCCTCTTCTTACATTTCTTAAAGCAGAAAGAGTGGGCCATATCGTTTTTTAAGCACAGCAGCGGCGGTAGCGGCGAGCAGCATCAGCAGCACCAGTAGCAGCTACGATGACTTGTACCGAAGCTGTCCCGGGGAAGACCCGCATCGGTGCGTCTTTGCGTTGAGCTCTTGGTGTACGGAATTGAGGTGTATGTACACCTCAGTGCGCACGTTGCGACCCCCAACTCCGCCAGGTGTACGCGGAAGGCAAGTGCTGCAGCAAAGACAGGGGGGTTTAAGAAAGTGAAATTCAACTTCTGGGGTTTGGCATTCAGGCTGGATCGGCACTGGTGTCATGGGCCGATCAATGTGCGAAAACCTCCTCAAGAAAGGCTTTTTATTAACGGTCTACAAGTGAGCCCTTTGCTGCTGCTGCTGGTGCTGCTGCTTGGCTATCCTTGTTGCTGCGGCTGCAGGCCTTTCGTTTGTCGGCCGCAGCAGCTTCCACCGAAGCAGCTGTCGATCCGGTAGTGGCTGCCCCATAAGCACAAGCAGTAGCAGCAGAAGCCGCACTGCATCAGCAGCAGAAGCAGCAGCAGAATGTGTGGGGCTGCTGTTCTGTCTGCAGCCGCACCGCCAGCAAGGCAGCGCCGCTGCAGCAGCAGGGAGCAGAGTTGGCTGAAAGTGCTGGAGCAGTAGCAGCAAAAAGTGATGTTTTGTGTCTCATGGTGGGGACCCCAGAGGACGTGCAGCAGCTAATATGTACGTAAACTCTACACTCTTAACCCTAAACCCTAAACCCTAGTTTGCAGTCACCTAAGCGCGCAGTAGGAGCGCCAGCAACCAGCTCAGCAGCAGCAGCAGCAGGCCCTGCATCACGCAGCAGCAAAGCCCCTGAGGGCCTCTTAAGCCCTGTGGGGGACCCCCCTGGATGCCCATTGGGGGCCCCCGTCAGGCACCCTGGGGGCCCCCTGTAGTGTTGAATTGGCTCTTTTTGGCGCTTGGGGGCCCCTATGGTGGTGCCCTTTTGATTTCCATTTTTCAGTTTTTTGTTTATTTCCTTTTATTGCATTTTATTTTGTTTATCAGCTGATTTAGGGTTCGCTGCTGTCCAACCTTTCCTAGACTAAAGTGCAAACAAACAAAACAAACAAACAAATACACGTATTTGGGGCTTTGACTTGTTTTTCTTTTAGTTGGAAAGGAGGGTTTAGCGGAAAAACTTGTGAAAGGCTCTTGCCTTATTGACTTCACCACCTCCAGTCCAGCCCTTGCAGACCAAGTGTACGTACACCTCAAGGCTAAGGGGGTTTATGCTTTAGACGCTCCCGTCACAGGAGGCAAGCAAACCCTAAACCCTAAACACTTAACCCTAGGTTGGTGCCTAAGAGAAGCCAGACGGGAGCCTGCGCGCCTGTTGCTGAGGCCTGCAGCTCTTGGGCGTAATACGGCCATCAGTGGTTCAGGGTTCAGGCTTTAGGGTTTAGGGTTTAGGGTTTAGGGTTTGCGAACTGCAGGAGATGTGGGGGCTAGGAATGGCCAACTGACAGTCATGGCTGGAGGAGATGCAGCAGCAGTTGCAGCGATGCAGCCGCTGCTGCAGGCTTTCGCAACGACAATCATACACACTGGGCCCGCAGGATCAGGCAAGGGTTTAGGGTCTAGGGTTTAGGGGTAAGGGTTTAGGGTGTAGGGGCGAGTAATGGTAAATTGTTCAGGGGGATCAGGGCAGCAGTTTCAGCAGGTTCAACTTCGAGGTTAGGTTTTGAGACAAGACTAGAGAAGCCAGAGAGGAGGTTCGCATGCGGCTTGCAGGGTTTAGGGTTTAGGATTTAGGGTTTAGGGTTTAGAGCTTTGGGTTAATTTGCAGGCCAGAGGACGAAACTGGCTAACCAAATAACGCTCTGCACAAATCTAGTGGGACTGGCGGAGGGTGAGTTTTGCAGGGTTTGTGGCGAGGGTTTAGGGTTTGCGATAAGCGGTTGACTTTGGGGCTGAGGGTTTAGGGTTTAGGGCTTAGGGCCTGGGTTTTGGGTGGCCTGAGGGTTCAGGGTTTAGGGTATAGGGTTTGTGCTGCAGGTTTGCTGTTTGCTGAGCGAGTTGGCTTGGACCTGGAGAAAACCCTCGCAGTTCTTTCAGGGGGTGGCGCCGCCAGCTGGTGAGGCATGCAACACTAGCAGCAGCAGGAGCAGTAGCAGCAGCCTCAGCAACAGCAGAAGCAAAGCAGCAGCTACTGCTTTGTCCACTGTGTGCCTGCAGCAGGCCGTTAGAAATTAGAAGCAAACCAACATAAGAAGCCAATCGACTTTAGGGTTTAGGGTTTAGGGTTTGGGGTTTGGGGTTTGAAGCTGAGTCATGAGGCACCACACTGCGTGGTGTTTCTGTCTGCTTGGCGGTAACGGTAGTGCCTGACGTCACGCACGCATGAGGCATTAGGGTTTAGGGTTTAGGGTTTAGGGTTTGGGGTTTAGGTCGGTGTCCACTTACGGGCCTCGAATCCGCGACGGCGACTTTCGCCCTGGCTTCTTCGTCGCCCATTTGATTAAAGACCTTCGTCTAGCTTTGGAAGAGGCATCTCGAGCCAAGCTAGCCTTGCCAGGTGCCAAACCCTGAAACCTAAACCCTAAACCCTAAACCGTAAACCCTAGGCCTTTACCCGTATGTGCTAGGGAAGGGATTCTAGTGTGGCCTGCCCTCCGCTCCTTCAGCGGAGATGTGGCGGGCCACGCTGCGCGCTGAGGGACTAGGATTTAGGGTTTAGGGTTTAGGGTTTGTGTTTCAGGCCTGGGTCTGGCGCTGCAGCTGTACCAGGCTTTAGAAGCCCAAGGAGGAGGCGCCTTGGGAGTGCATGCATTAAAGTTGGCTCTTAGCAGCATTAATGAAAAGCAAAAGAATGTTCAACAAGTTGCTGAGCAAATGAAATAAACCCACACAAGCCTGTTGCAGCAGAAGTGGCTGCTGCAACAGGGGGATCTGCAGCAGCAGCAACTGCTCTAGCGGCGACTGCCGCTGCTGCTGCTGCAGCTTCTGCTGCTGCAATTCGTGCAGCTCATGCTGCCATTGCACCAGCTGGCTTAGCCAGTGCTATTGTTGGCCGTTGCCGTGACTGCAGCAGCCGATGATGCCACTGCAACGGCAGCGGTTGCTGCTGCTGCTGTTTTAGCAGCTGCTGTGGCTTTTGTGGCTGCTTGGTGCAGCAGCAGCAGCAAACGGTAGCCGCTGCTGATGCCCTAGTAGCCACAGTTGCAAATCGGCAGCGACTGCAACAGCTCGCCTCGTTTTATATTCACTTCTTTTGTGTGCACATTTACCTTTCAATTTCTAATTGAATAATAATATTCACCACAAGTGCCTGCGCACCCTTTGTGCTGCATGCGTCCCAGGTGTCTGTACACTGCAGCCCCCTAAACTTCAACAGCTGCTCCCCTCTGCTGTTGTGCAGCTTCAGCTAGCTACATCCCTAGTTTTCTGGCAAGCTAGCTAGCTAGCGAGCTAGCTAGCTAGCTAGCTGCTGGGGACCGGGCAAAACAGTGAATAATGCATTTCATATGTTTTGAGGCTGCTGCTGCACTCACGGCCAGTAGCCCTTTGGCTCCTTCTTTGTTTCGTAAATTTCCAATTTTTGCATATTTAGTTTTTTTATTTCTTGCTTGGGGCTAATGTACAAACGGAATAGTAATACAAATGGAACGGACCTGCTGCGGTGACCCTGCCAGAGATGAAGTCCTTGGAAACGCAAACTCCACACCCTAAACCCTAAAATCTAGACCCTCGCTTCCACACGAACCTAGTGTGCTCACAAGCCGCCGATGCCGGTGCAGCTCAGCAAGCCTGCGAGCCGAAGCTCTAACCGTCACCCCTAAACCCTAAACCCTAAACCCTCACACGAACAAGTGCATCGTCGGCTTTGCAGCCTGTGGGGGCCCTATAAAGTCCTAGTGGGCTGAAACACCCTAAACCCTCAATTTTACTCCCAAACCCTAACCGCTAGCTAGTTCGACCCTAAACCCGAAATGGGGGATCCAGCGAGCTGGAAGCGCAGGGGCGGTGTGTGGGAGGGAGGTGCCCGCGGTTAGAAGTATCATTTTTTTCGAATTTAAATAATTTAAATAAATTTTTTCTTTCTTATTTTAAAAAGACTAACTTTGGGGCCCCTCGAAGAAGCGCCCTGGGCTTGAAGCGCATGCAGCAGCCGCCCGGAGGGGAGCGTTGGGGTTAGGGTTTAGGGTGTAGGGGTTGTGTTGAGTTTGTTTTGTGGGCTTTCTTTGTCTCTTCCTGCCGATTTTTCTTGCCATTAAACCCAGAACTTAATACAAAATGGCAGACAAAGAAACAGAAACCCAGGCCCCAGCGCAAACGGCTGAGGATGATGAGGTAGCAAACCTAGAGCAAGAGGTCACAGAGGGAAACTGGACTCGCCCCGAGGTAAACCCAAACACCAAACCCTAACCCCTAAGCCCTAAGCCCTAGCAAGTGCGTGCAGCCCCCCAGGACTCCTTCCTGGGCCCTGCTTGCACACTCGGGAGCCTTTAGGCCTGCGCCTAAAATCGAGCTGGGGGGCCCTCGCGGGGCCCCTCCGTGGGGCCCTCTTCATTTACTTTCCAAAAATATATGCAGCAAATTGAGGCCCTATTCATTCCTCAGCGGCAGCAGCTGCTGCTGCTGCAGCCGATTGATATTGTGGAGGAGTTTGCGGTGTCTGTACACTTGGAAATATATGTTTCTCGTGAAATTGTATACTCTATTTTTCTGTGTCTCTCGTTGAACGGTGCAGCTTTTAGTTGTATTGATACATGCGCTGCTGGTGATCCTATTGCTGCGACTAACGCTGCTGTGGCTGCTGCTGCTGCTGCAGTTAGTAAAAGTTAGAGCTTAAACGCTAAAGGCTGGCTTTCTGCTGAAGTGCAGCGGCGCCTTGTCTTCGCAGCTGCGGGGCTGGCACCTGTTTATTTCCTGTTGCTTGCCATCATAGGACTGGGGAGTTCGGCTTAGTTTCAGGGTTTAGGGTTTAGGGTTTAGGTTTGGGCTGTAGGGTTTAGGATCGGGTGCCTAAGCAGCTGTCTCACTGTTCAGAGTGGGCCTGCTGCTTATAGTTTGATGGCTTTCCGGTGCTGCAGCATTTTTGTGCTTTTTGTTTAATTCAAATGTGCAGAAGGCATTGCATGCATTTGAATTTGTGCCTTTTTTCGCCTCTTTGCCTCCGCTCTAGCGCACAGGAAGTGCCAGTCTTCTCAGTGTCCCTATTTCTACTTTTTTTTCCATTTATGTTTCTCGAGGATCCGAAAAATATCATTTTCGATTAAATTTTTTTCGGATTGAGTATTGCGCGTGTTGCTTCTTTCTTGGTTTCTGCATTTCCTGAAGTGCAGTTTCTTCTGCTGTTCCATCCGGCGAAAAGAATTCTGAATTGCCAGTTATGTGGCAGCCTTTTTGCAGGTCGAAGTGCACGAAGTCAAAGTGGAAACGGGAGAAGAAAGCGAAGACACTTTTTGGAAATGCCGTTCAAAGCTGTACAGGTGGGCTGCTGGAGGCGAGTGGAAAGAGCGAGGCCTGGGCGAGGCGAAACTGCTGCAGCACAGGGAAACCAAAAAGATTAGATTTCTTCTGCGCCAGGAGAAGACCCTTAAGATTGTAGCCAACCACTACGGTGAGGAAAGCATGCTTGCTGCTTTTGCTGCCGCTCTTTTCGCCTTCTTTCTGTGGACTTTCGCGCTTTCTGCATCTGTGAAGTTGGCCAGTGGTTGCATTTTGCTGTTAATGCATCTACTAATCTGCTTGCAAATCGTAAATCTGATACCACTTTTGACATCAGTTGCACATACCTGTTAGAGAGTGCATCATGTTCATTTCACGCGTTGATCTTTCTGTTCCTTACCGACGCAAAAAATGGCTGCACAGGCACTCGTGTTTTAGTGTTGGCTATTTATTTGTAATTTATCATTACATCATTCACGCAAATGGTCCGCTTTATTCACTGCTGCCTAGGATGCAACGACTGAGCTAAGGCGTTGGCATTTCCATCGAGACTTTTTGCATTTTGTTTCGCGATCCGGTATTTTTATTCGAATTATTTATTTTTATTAATATTTGTGTTAATTGTGCATTTTTTCCTTTTTCCAGTGGTGGCAACTGACGTTTACTGCAAGCTGACGCCCAACGTCAGCTCCGAAAAGATATGGGTCTGGACGGTTATGGATTTCGCTGAGGGGGAATTGAAAAATGAGCAATTTGCTCTAAAGTTTGGTCAAGTTGAACGTAAGATTCTGCATTTCAAATGGAAAATGCACTTGCGTTTATTCTGCTGTGTTTAGCACGGTTGTTCTACTGTGGGTAGCTGGGCTGCTTTCTGTTATAGACCGGTTTGGCCTGTTTTTGGAGTTTCTTAACGGGAAATATGAATTCATTAGAGCATATGGCTCGGAAGCTTTTTTCTTAAGACTCCGGATTTAAGTCTTGGTGCTTGTTTGCGCAGAGGCGAAGGAGTTTAAGGAGAAGTTTGAGGAGGCTGCCGCAATTAATTCGAAGCTGTTCGGCATTGGCGACTCGACGAAGGAGGGAGAGAAAACAGAAGAAAAAGAAGCCGAAAAAAGCACCGAAAGCAAAGATGATGAGACGAAGGAAACCGAGGGGGCTGCAGCCAAGACAGAAGCAGCAGCAGAAGTGGCGAAAGATAAGGCTGAATCAAAGACAGAGAATGCGTGATTGTAACATTTATGATAGCCATCTTAATGACAGTTGTAATTAGTATTTGTACCTCTATGATGCTGCTTTGGACCCGTCGCATTCGCCGCTAAACAAACTTAGACTCTGGACCGTTCATCATGACCTCCACAGGCTCGTTCCGCGGTTTTCGTTGTTAACGGTTCCATTTCCAAATTTAAAAAATTAAATTTAAACAAATAAAGGAGAAGTAGGATATGATATTCTTCTGAGGGACAGAAGATAGCGCGTGGGGTGCCCGCACCTGGCGCGTGCCAGATCATCAATTGTTTATATTTCTTAATGATTATTAATACTAGTAATATTATTATTGCTATTTGCATCTAATGTAATTACCTAGGCGACTATTCCTTCACTTCCACAACTTCCGCTGAAGTTTATCTTTCTTTATTCAATGAATAAATGCGCGCAGTGCCTTTACTGTGGCAAGACAGTACTGCATTTTGATTGTGTAATAAGTGAGTCACACTTAATTATTCGTGGTCTGCTAGCTACGCCAGGCGACTAGAACCAGCTAGGCAATCGTAGCTATTCAAAATGGTTCAAGCACTTTTGCTACCTGCAGTTGAGCACAAAGGCGTTTTTATTGAGTAGAGAAAAGCATTTAAAACATATGCAGCACCATTCTTGGCTACGGCACATCAATCAGACGGAGTGGGGTGGGCTATTGACTCGCAACTCTTGTTGGAGGAAATGGTGATGCTCAATATGAATGGACCCCCCCAGTGCTGATCAGCCAAACTTTAATGTGCATAGGCAACTGACACAGCTATATTTTGAGGACGCCCAAAATAGTTAGGTGTTTCTGTCCTTGAGGACAGTGGCCTTTAGTAGTGAACCTGACTAGATACCAGCTAAACCCACAACTGAAGGTGTGGCTACACGGAATAAGTAGGAGACTTCGAGTGTAATGCAATGGATTCTAGCAAAGAAACTGTGGCTTCATCTCCCAATTCGTCTAGAGTTCGGTTTGTCTGATATCACATGCCTCATGATATGATATGGCATTTGTTCGGGCAAACAGCAACTAAAACATCTGAGTGCAAACTAACTATTTGAATAGATCCTAGATGTCGCGTTTAGGACGGATGGCATTAAGTGAAGTGAAACAAATGCTCCCGAACGAGAAGTAGAGAGGAATAGAAGGAAAGATGAGTTTAGATGAGAAACAAGGGTCAAATCGAAACAGTTTAAATCTGCACATTTGGAAGGGATGTAAATGCAGCATATTATGCACACATTAAAGTAAATCTGCACATTTGGAAGGAATGTGAATGCAACATATTATGCACACATTAAGGAAGCTTAGTGTGGAATGAGTGTGTGAGTGGAAAAAGACACCAAACACGACGCAAACGGATCAGATGAGACTTTGTAATCTATAGACACAAAAGATTATTTCAACGTTTCTTTTTTTCATCTTATATTCATTGTATAATCCGTCACAGCACGCGTACAGCATTGAAACAGACAAATATGATTCCACAACCCTGTCGTCACTGGGGGCGGAACTGTGGGTATTTGGTGGAGTTAAAGAATGAGTGAATACGCCCAGCAGCTCCCATCTTGTGCATCTATGTTTAGATTCATGTCAATTCCAATTAAATTGAAAAAAGGGACAGAAGGAAACCACCTGCTGCCGCCAGCCCCACTGCAAGCACCGAGGGAGCAGCAGAGGGTGCAGCGGACGGCCGAGGCTTCTCAGAACTTTCAAACGGAGATGATGTCGATGTTGCTGTTGGTGCTGCTGTCGTTGATGTCGATGATGTGTCTGAACCTGAGCCACCGGTTCCTCCACCGGTTCCTCCACTAGTGCCTGCATCTGCTTGCGCAAAAACGCCTGTACTCGGAGCTGCTGAGTCTCCCTCAGGGGAACCACGAGCTAGAATGCCCTCCAGCTCACGCATAGCTTCCTCTTCCGGAGAAGCGTCTTGCTTCTCAGGAACAGAAGCAGCAGGTGCAGCAGCGGCTGCAGGAACCGCAGCTGCAGGAACAGCTGGCGCATATGCAGCAGGCACAGCAGCAGGAGGCGCGGGAGGAGCAGGCGCAGCAGCAGCAGCAGGAGCAACAGTGGAGACCTGCGTTGCTGAGTCTTCCTCAAGTTCTTCTGCTGCTTGAAGAAACGTCTCTGCTGCTTCAGAAATTACTTCTGTATCATCAGCCGGCACACTCGGAAGACCTGCAGCGGCGCAGTAGACATTTGAATTGCTTAATTAGTTGAAAGCAAAATTTTACTTGCAACGTAAAAGGCTGTCTACAAAGCGTAGTCGCTAAATGCCGCAGCTGCTAAATTTCTTGCAGCCGAAAGTGTTTCCTTACCCTCCTGTGGCCGCTGAGGCTTCGCCGCTGGCGCTTCAGCTTCTTGGTTGACTCCTGCAGCAGCCAAAATCACAAGACAAACACAGAAATTTTAAAAGAAATCTGGTCTAAAGGGTTTTCATGCTGTTTCTGTTCCTTGTGCTGCAGCCTGCGCATAGAAAGCACTGAGATTGTGTGTACAGGATGTGGATCAGGGCCCTGTGTAGACGAATACTACCTCTGAAGGCCTGTTAAAACACGACTCGTAAACAAAAGCAACAATTTCTCGTGGCTGAACATGTTGGAGGGTAAAAGGATCGGAATTTGGGGAAAGGCAACATGATGGCTCACAGTGGGCCGTCATCACCCCACCGCAACCACATACTGAGCGCTTCAGAGCGGATGAAGCCAATTGTTTGCAATTTACATTTTAATTGTGAAAGATAAACAATATTCAAGAACAAATTTGATATAAATTTGTAGTTGTACCGGTATCAAGGGGAGCCGCCAGAGACAGCTGGTCCTCCATCGCGCACAAGGCGCTAGCTGAGAGAGCCACGAAGACGTTGAGGATTCCCATGTTGACGCCGGAAACAAATAGAAAGAAAAAACAACAAACAAAAAAGGAGCTTGTGTTGATCAATCAGAAAAAAAGTCAAGCAGAGAAGGCCACGAACAGCACAAGGTCAACTCTCCGCTACCGATGGGGATCGTGGGTGGCCGGCCCAATGCCCGCTCTGCTCTTAGTTAGTGGGTGCAACGCTTGTGTTGAGGAAACGATGCAGAATATATCATTACGACCTATAATCATTGAAATTACTGAATTTTAACCCCAAGTTGAAGCTTATATGGCCTTCATCTGACCAGCCATGCCCAATTTCTGGTGAGGATCGGGCACTGGTGTCGTACCGCCGGCAGCACAGACGCCCAACTACAACATTCGCGTTTCTGATTTTAGTTCTAGTTCTAGAGGGAAACTTTTATTTTAAAGGAGTTGAAAAAACACTCGCAGCTCCACTTTTGATGCAGCTTGCTTACCAGTGAGGCTTGACAGTCCCTCCGCAAGTGCGTCTGCGTGGGCACACCGAAAGGAAGTGAAATGAAACTTAAGAAAGAAAATACACACACGCAAGGTTTCTTCGTTTCGGTTTATGAGTTACTCGAAGATAACTAGAGACGCAGTAGGGGTTAGGCGGGCGTTGCAGCATGCGGCAACAAGCTCAGTGTGAGCTAAGGCTGTTTCTTTCTTTCTGGAAAATCTGAGCCTGTGTCAACGCGTACTTGAAAAAATTTAATCAAAAAGCAAAGTGACTCGATGGTACAAAAGACGGCCTCAGCAGCAAAGATATCTGCTGTGCATGGCCGGATGTTCCAGGCTCGCTTGGGCCCAATATAATCTGTTCGGATTTCATTATTCTAGTTACACTGCGAGCATAAGCACTGGAAAAGGCCATGCTAAGATATGAAACTTTTGTTGAGGTGTTCGTGAGAAATTATATCAAACGTGTCTATTTGTCTTTCAAGGAGCCACGGGACCTTTTGCCCAGCCCTGTCTCATGGAACAAACTTGCACAACAAACTTTTGCTGGCTAGATTAATCCACGAACAAGCTACTGCTAGTGGGGAAAAAATACTTGATATGTGCAGTTAGATTGACGGAAACCCAACAGGGTTTTGCATATTGTTTACAAACAGCTACAACGTGTCTTTAAGGGATCTCAGCAGCTGAGAGTCCGCAAAAAGTTAGTGGTTTGCCAAGGCTAATCGCTTGTCTGCAGCACTAAAGCAGTGCCCGACAATATCCAGAATGAAGGGTGCTCAGAGTAAGGAAGCCATGCATCAAACACCCATCCCTCGCCCATGGCGTTGCGGCGGCCTTGGGTGGCGTAGACTGGAGTGCGCAACAAGCTGCGAACATTCAGATGGTGAGCCTCGACAGGCATGACTTTAACCAGAGGCATTTCTTCGAACAGCTTGCGGGGGGTTTGAGGCGCCAAACGGCCAACAGTGCTGTCCCAGCGAGCGCCCTGTAGCATGCACACAACCGGCACAAAAATCTGTCAACTTTCCTTTGAAGGCCTTAAATTTTCCCTTCCAAAAATAATGATAGCATGTGAGACAAAGCTCGGAAGTGCAAGCTCACTGCTAAAGCCCGAAAAAGACAAAACTCGAGAAAGTAGAATCGGAAATCGTGTTTTGTGTCACCTCAATAAACATTCCTTCGATGTAGGCCCCGTGCTCAAGCGTGCTTTCAATCTGTGCTGCAGCAGTCTTGTCGGTAACCTCTGTAAAAAGCACTAGTTTGTCTAAGGCCACCATTTTCTTGCGACTCGTGACTTGAATGAGAGCCGTCAGCAGCGAATCCGGGGTATGCAGCCCTCCGAGCCAGTAACAGCTCAAGGTTCCCTGAAAGCGCAGATGGCAGCAAATGCCACGAAAAGATCATGTAACTTGCCAGTTGGAACTGTTTACCCCTGATATTATATACGGCTGAATCTACCTCAGGCTGCAATGTTTCAGGTTGCAGTCACAGTGAAAAAAGGAACAATCGTCTTGCCTGTTCTATCCAGACGGTGTACTGGTCAATGCGGCGCATCAAGTGGGACAGCCATGAGCCAAGAGGCTTCAGACTAGGAGGTGCAAGCATGCGCCATTGCTTAGGCAAAAATCCTGCTTGTAGCGACAGTGCCAACTCATCGAGGTCTCCAGACATCCCAATGTCTCCGCGAAGTGCACGGGAAAGATCGTGCAAGGACTGAGTCATTGTGTCCGTCAAAAGGTTGAGCCTATCAAGCTCCTGTGTGTCAACATTGCCGGACAAAATAAAACCCGTGATCTTTACTCTCTTGTGAGGTTTCTCACATGGATCTTGACGTTCTCGTAACTACACAAAATACAGAATTTTCCTGCGTGGGCTTTTTCCATCGGCGCGTCTAGAGAGGTACCGCTAAGACGTATTACATGCTTTGCAACCTGGCTACTCTGAGGCCTCCAGGTGGACAATCTTTCATTGAATATAACCTCTGCACAGCAATGTTGAGGTGCTATGTCACTAAAGATGCGATGATTTGCCGAATGGAATTGCTACAACAAAAAGGGAAGGAAACATATGCAGGCTCGAAGAACGATGGTAGACACCGGTGCACGGTTGGGCTTTTTAAGGCCAGGACCAAAGTGCTTTTAGGCTTTACAATACCATGCGGTGAATTGAGTTGTTGGAATATGATTGCGAGAGTGAAACATAGTTACCTGGGCCAGTACGACTTGCGTGGGCGTGAGTGCTTCCGTCCCAGGGGAAAAGTATAGTCCCCTTTCCGGCATTTTATCAAGTATTTCTGAAATAGTCGCCACTAGAGCCTCCTCTTTGAGATTACCCACGGCAGAGTCATTGCTGTTTCCTGAGTTATTCGCAATGTTAATCTTCAAAAGTCCAAGCCAGATGCTTTTCGCGTTGTCGACAAAATAGCTGATTTCGGCGTTGGCGTGAAGTCCAAACACTTCAGGGGTGTTGGTTGCTGGCATATTCTGCATGCATACGCTCCCGACCAAATAATCAGTGGATCGCTAAGAATCAGACAAGGTAGGCTCCCATGCATATAGTCCTACATTCTTGAAAGCAACAGCGTTCGATACAGCCAGCACTCTGTTTGTGCCTGGTTGTAGAGGAGCCCAATGCACACGCTTGAGTGGACTACAGTTCAGGAACGGAAGCTGCACTCTGAGTCATCGCGCATTGTTTTTTCAGCGAAGCTAGGATCTAACGCCTGTGGGTGTGGTTACCTTGATGAATTCTATGTGGCCGGCAATTGTACCATCTGCCGGGAGTGTGTAACTGATGGGCGCTTTGCAGAAGCAAAACTGGCGGTAGTTGTCAAAAACGAATTCTCCCAAGTACTCTTCGAGGTATGTCGCTAAAACCCGCCGGTCGTAGTCATCGGTAACGCGGCCGCCATACATGGCCTCTCCTATTAGATATCTGAGGGTTTCCCAAGGGATATCCGTTGCAGTCGGCAAGGGCCGAGTGGCCTGCAGCTCCTCGGCGTGATCTTCAGCCTCTCCAGGAAGCCAGTTTGGACCCTTCCCGATTTTACTCAAGTACATCTTCACCAGGCTCAAAGATATGGATAAATCGGACTCGTTGAAGTCATAAGGCACATTCCACCCAATTCTCCCGTATTTACGTCTCTCCTGTGGAGCAAATCGCACTCCACTTTCCCATCATATGTACGAGGCCCAGGTTTTTCTTAGTGATACTCCACTTCGGCTTTGTGGAGCCTCAACGCCTACCTGGACAACTGCATGGAAGAAGCTTAGCCCGTACACCAGCGAGGTGTATGCAGGGTGGGTGCACTGCTCGAACGCGTCTTCCCGGAAGAGGGAATACGAACTTTGCATGTTTGCTCTTATGCCATCGGGCGGCTCTGTCACGACCTTCAGAGACGCCTGACAAGTTCACAACACACGCACACATAGTCTCTGGGCAGCAACGGTAAGAAATCCCCCAGAACGAAGTCGTACGTAGAAAGGCTTGGTAAGACGGCGTACCTGCAGAATGCTAAGGGGGAAATCTTGCGTTGGCTGGGTTGTCAGCCAAAGTCGGAATCCCTTGTGAGGCTTTTTCATATCTGCACAATAGCATATCACTCCCGAAAGTTTCTTCTAGGCAGTAAAACAAGTTTAAATAAGAATTCTATAGAAGTCTTGTGTGCCTGTCTGCACTTGTCGGCCCTTCGTGCTACTAACCTTGCAGTAACTTAGCAAGCGTAGAAAGCCACCCCGGAAGAAGGTGGCAATTCTGTAGCATGATCCAAAACCCTCGTTGGTAGCCCGTCTCCACGAGTTGTCCTGCTTGATCGCCCATGCCTTGACCTATGGATAGGGAGCGGAATTTGTTGCCTGCGAGTTTGTTGCATAGCAAATAAAACAGGAGCGGAACAGTGCAAATGACCCAAAACGGCCTCGCAATTGCGTGGTTTCTTACAGAGGCTCGAGCTTTTGAGTTTTGTGCTCCGCCTGCCATTGGCGATGCAACGTACCCGCCATGCCGATCGATTCCGCAAGAGCAGAAACAGCAGCATGGGGATTAGCCCCCGGTGACAAAATGAGCAGGATTGGGGAGAATTCGGAAGACTGAGCATAAATTTTTGAGTATCTGCAAGCAAAAAGCACCTTGAAGGCAGACTCTTGTCGGGCGTACCATGCAGCTTAACTTGGATTTTTTCAAGTAGCGTGCGAAGGGGAAAAGGGTTGTGAGGTGGCTGATTGCTGCTTACTGAAGTGTAGGCGATTGCACGTAATGTTCATTCAGTCTCCACTGGATAAAATTTTTGATAGCGTTGTGAACCCGATCAACGCGGAAGATGCGAACAAGAATCAGCTTTTGAAAGGGAGATAACAAGCGGTTCCATTGCCCAGGCATATCTGCTTTTTCTGCCGATTCATTATCTGTCCAGTTTTTCCATGTCTGTAAGCCTCAAAGCACCAGCGAAAATCTGAAGAGCTTTGAATGCTATCGAGCACGAAGATACGACTATCAACTGTACCTAATTGCCGCTAGCCACGAGAATACAATTCGCTGGCAAGCCGGAGCTAGTCTTTTATAAGCCTTGAAGAGTGCACAAAATTGCCGTTCTACTGTGCATTTGCAGCTCAGTGGCGCCGCAACAAAATTTTTTTGTTGAAAGGTAAAATCATCCCTACTGACGCACCTGGTGTTCGGCCAAGACATTTTCCCGAAGTCCTTTAAATACCTGACTGACTTTGTCAAGCTTGGACAGATCATTCCACCCACTGTCCGGTATCCAAGCGAGCTCCTCTGGCTTCGGCTCTTCCTCTGAAATCGTGTTGCTTCCCTTCAAAAAGAAGTCAAGCTCTTCTTCAGGCAGCTTGCCATCGTGCCGCATGATCATTGTTGTCAGATGGAACGCGAAAATGAGTCTCTGGCTTTCAAACAAGCCTGACCATACTCAAGTACAGCTGCTTGCCAGTGATACTAAAGCCTGGCAGCTACAAGACCCTAACAGGAATCATAGTTCTACCCAGTGGACTATGGTGCAAAAAGACTAATGTGTTTAATGTTCCTCATAGTGTGTCCTCCCCTTAAGCAACTGTGACTAAAATTATGCCAGCTAGCGCAGCATTTACCAAGGCTGATGTAGTCATAGGAAAGCTGCGTCACTTTGTCCATCAGGCTTTTTAGCCGATTTTCTAGTATTCTATCCGGCCGAGCTTCCTTCAAAGCCACTTGGAAAGTATGTAAAAAGACATCGAGAGAGTATTCGAGCATGGGTGACAAATTTCTCATCCCATCCATGCTGAAGTATACGACGCTCCCTCGCTTGGCAACGCTGTAAAATTCTTGCCGTTTCTGCAGCAAGTGTATAAAACAGACACCTTACTGGTTCAGTATTGCTTCTGGGTTTTGTTACAGCACTGAAGAAAGAAAGAAAGACCTGCAGGCTTCTTTATTATCGAGGGGCAGAAAATAAATCAGGCATGCATACCTCCTCTATTTTGGCAGCAGTTGACTTTGCATCTTCAAGGAATTGCTCAATCTCCAGAGCCTTTGTCTTAGTACTTTGAAGAGTCTCGATTAGGTCCTCGTTGTCTAAAGGACTTCCTTTAGAGTGGGCGAGCTCGTGAAGCAGGGAGTTCTCGAGTTGCTGCAGCAGGTTACCACGTCAGTTTATATTTGCGATTAGGTAATCAAAGCATATCGAAGGAGCGCAGCAGTTGGACCAAGGTTTGATATTTTTACCTTCAACATCAGGCGGCCGTCGCTCATTCGCTGCACAAGTTCCTGACGCTGGCTTTCTAGCTCTGGTACCTCGTTCCCAACGACAGTGGCAAGCATCTGTTCGGCTAGACCACTCATTGTCACCTGATATACATAAAGGCGTAGTGCGACTTGTTGAGACAATAGCCTCTAATACAACAGAGATGAACCAATGGCTTTAGTGCGCTGTTAATAAGACAATTAGCCCTCTTCTGCACAGCAGACCTGGTAGTTGATGACGTTTGTCTTGTTCATGATCTCCGGGCCAAACTTCGGATTTGAGAGTTTTGTCGTCATGTACAAACAAAAGTTGTCATTCCAGTCAACCTGTTTTCCCACTAAGAAGCAAATTGCACAAGAGGAAAATGTGTCCCTTCGCATTGCTAATAAGCCAAGTTCAGAATTTGCTCAGCTGCGGAACGAAACAGATTCTCGGGGCTGACATGTGCCTAGGAGAGCTTACTCAGTGTAACAACTTTTTGTCCGTTTTGAAGCGCCAAGCTTCGCTCCAAGACAGAGTCAATGGACGGGTCGATTTCAGTCTCAACTGACTCAAACAAGAATGGCTTGCCGTACTGAATGGCTAGCTCAAGGTGCTTCATGTAGTCATCTGCAAACGTCTTTATCACGAGATCGCGTTCCTCCTCTCTCTGTTGTATCCACTTCACGGCCTGCTCACAGAGAGGATGCAAAGCAGTGGCTCAGATTCTGGCACATCTGGGCTTCAGCAAACACATCTGGGCTTCATGAAACAAAGTTTGTCCTGGGATTCATTGAAACACTATCGGGGTGTTACCTGCATCTGAGGATCTATGCAGAGCGGCCAGCGGGCAGACATGGTTGTGAGGATGCCATTCTGAATGGACATCTCGTTAGACGGCAGCCCTTCCTTATTCCACTTAGCAATATCTGCTTCACTTGTAAGCAGGCCTTCGATTTTGAATGGGCAGTTTATGGGAATGCCTGAATCTTTCACACCAGCGGCCCAATGGTCATACACCTGAGAAACAGCAAAAAATGTGTTCACGGCACAAAGGCCTAACAGGCATAAAGTTTCATGTGTAAAAGTATTGTTTCCAGTCATGCAAATAGGCGGGAGCTACTTTCTTATTTGAACAGCAGCTGTGCACTTCAAACCTCGACAGACCATTCGGTTTCTGAACTCGAGAGTGTAGGGTCCTGCATAGGAGAGGAATGCTGCACCAATCAAGCAGCTGCCAACCAACTTGATGCGGGTATCTCTGCAGGCCTCACGATCTTCTGTCCAGCGACGTCTTTCTGATTCAAGCCCATCTATTAATTTGCAGGCTGCTGTAAGCCTTCTTTCCATCACCTTTGCCTCGGCTTCAACCTCATGCAAAATGTCCGTTTGTTCCTTCTGTTCTGACATCAAGGCAGAAAGTTGCTCTTCCAGCTGACGGAGCTCCTCCTGCAAGATGTGCAGCGGCAAGGCTGGCTAGCAGTTACGCAAATGTTGAAACGCGTATCCTGGTACTAATCAACGCATGTATGCCGTTTGAACAATTGTCAAAATCGAATGTAGCACAGGAAGCGTCTCACTGGGGTCAGCTCCTACCCTGATGCTCGCTAAGTTCGTCTCAGCCTCCTCCTGCTTTTGCTGTAATTCTGCAACGAGACGTCGTTTTGGCTCGACGCTCTTTGCCACTTCGTGGTACTGAATCATCGCCTTGACCCAAGTCAACAGCCCGTTCCCTGCCTTCGAAATTTTCGCCATCTTCTCACTCCTGAATGAATCTGGATCTTTGTTAAAGTACTCCATCAACTTTTTCACTTGTCTTTCTGAGGGTGGCAACAGAAGTCAAGGGGGGTTCAGAAACGCTGTTTAAGCTCTTCAGCAAGGCACCCAATAAAAATTGATACAACAGTCGCGTGTGCAAGCTATCCACTGACCAGATATATTGTCTTTGGGATACTCCATTAAACTCTTGAGGAAGTTGACATCATTCAGCATAGCCTTGGCGCCGTTCCAGCCATCGGCTTCATTTTCTTTGCCCAATGGTCGCAGGACAACGACACACATACAAACATTCATGACGGGCTTCGGGGGCGTCATGAAAGCCTTTATTTCGGAAATGTCCTTTTTGTCAAGATTTTCAAGCGCCCTTGCTGCTGCTTCTAACGCTGGAATTGCTGCAGCCAAAGCCTCATCAGCGCTTGCTTTTTCTTGGTTTATCGTAATTTGGTCCTGTGGAGAGTCGCAATCGCAACACTTGTATAATCTTGTTTAGAAGAAACAAACACTACTGGTGGGGACTGAACTCGTAGATGCGCGCTTTGTTGATTGCGTTTCGCTTGCCTGAGATATCTGTCGTTCAGTGGCACGGGCCTCATCTTTCCTTTGATTAGCTTTGGTACTTTTCTCGTTTATGCAAGAGATAAGCTCTTCTATGCTTCTTTTTTTCTCATCCACAATAACCTTCTTTTGCTCCACTTGGGCGTTCATTATCTTGACTGACTCGGCGACCTATGCCAAAATTCAAACACTGAAAGGCTTGTATGCTGCTTTATTTGGCGCAGAAACGCGTAGTTAGGCACGTGAAAGATAAGCCAGTCAAACAGTAATTGAAGCGAATACAATAAGGCATACACTGCTCATCTTCTGCAATCCTCCTTCTAGCCGAGCACTCAGTTGGTCAGTGCTAGAACGCTTTGCCTTCAGCATGCCCTTGTAAGTCTTGAGAAAGTCGAGGTAGTTTTTAGGTGTGGAAAATGTTGCACGGTCGAATTTTCTCTCAAATTCCGGGGCATATGTTGTGGTCACACTGTCGTGCACGCTGACGATATGCTGCTCTATGGCTGCCCGGTTTTCTTGAGGTAGATCTTCATTTTCTAGAAGCACCGCTGCGACAGCAGCAAGTGCAGACACTGGCCAAGGCTGGAACCAGTCCACATTTGTGCAAGACACGAGCCCTGGAAAGCTGCGACAGCGGTTTCTTAATGCGTTTCCAGATGGTGACATAGCAAGGAGAAGGTGCACATTGTCCCTCGCTCGGTTGATTGCATAATCCCAAAGTGAGTCCTCGCGAACCCCGTTCTCCTTGGCAGATGCTCTTACTGCGGCAATGAGGGCATCTTTTTGGTCATCAGCGAAAAGAGCTGGTATTGTGCCGATAGTCAAAATGTTGTTTATATATTCTAAGAAGCATTCAAGCTTGATGTCTGCATCTGAAAATAGGAGGCATTGCCGCTCTGTCACTGCCATTGTTATCAGCTTGCGAAGGTCCTCCTTGAAGTCAGCTTCCCCGTAAGACCTCATCGGCGAAAGAAGGAAATGATTATAGCTGAGGCAAACATTTAGGCGTACAAAACACAGACATGTTCAGATGAATGAGGCTCATTAGCTGCAGAAAAAGCACTAGCAGAAAAGCACTCGAAGCAAATTTCCAACGACTGGAAGGGGCACACGAGTACTTACCCAGAAATGAATATTGCGAGGGTGGCAACGCTTCGTTTGCCGGAGCCGCCAATTCCAATGAGCAACCCGTGGCCTCTTTCCATTCTTATCATTCTGTGGACACGCGCTAGATGAGCCATGATGTCCTCAAACATGACCAAGTGCATAGGCTTCCGATCAAAGTTGTGAAGCTCCAAGAGTCGCTCAAGCAGCGGTCGGATTTCCTCAAAGGAAGCATGATCGTCGTAAGTCCTATCCTAATGCAGCCACGAGACAACTCTAGAGAAAACGTCGGACTAAATTGGACGAAACAGGCAAATATGAGTCGTCTGCGACACTAGAACTGCTGACATGCACGTACGGGGCTGTCGGCTTTTTCTTCAGCTTCGATGAGCTTTAGAGCGCTCTCAAATTCCGTCCACACAATAGGATCTCTCAGCGCATGCTCTGAGAAGTCCGGGAAAGTGTCTTCTATTATTTGTTTTAGCCTTATGTGCTGCAGGTAGTGCTTTTCTTCTTCGTCAATCAGCTTGTCCTCGAAAACTCGGAGGCTTTCATGCCTAGAAAAGGGAGGCAAAAGCACCACCTTATGAATCTACCATTGTTTGTGTGCTTCGTCCATTCTTGCTGATGGTCCGGCTCCTCCCGTTTATTTGCTCAAAAGGTGACCTTCTTACCGCCACAAGCGAACGATTGACTTCCCGTCAATCGATGTGCGTAAATTTGCGTGCCATATCCCTTGATATATACGTGAGAGGTCGCGCATGTTAAATATATAGTGAAACTTCTTTGGCGTGCGGGTCATCTTCTCCAACACGCCCTCATAGAGGCTCAGTGTGGCCTGGGGCAACTTTGCGAGAACGGGCTGCAAAGCAGGATTCCCACGAAAAGCGCCTTAACTGTGGACTCCAATGCTCCCACTTAAAGCCAAAATTCATGAGACGCATTTGCCACTCAAGTTTTAGCTACTTGGCACGTTTTAGAAGGCTTGCCTTGAGTGCTTGACAATCAGAGCCGAACTTTATATCCAGGATAGTAGATAATATTCGCTTAATGGATTCTTGGGATGGGGAATGGATGTTAAAGCAAAAGAATTGCGAAACAGCTCTTGGGTCGATCGAGTTCCTTCCGTTGCCTGGAGGGTTCATTGCTCCAAGGAAATGAACGTCTTTCAGGATTATCTTCTCAAGGTCTTTGCCCCGTTCGTAAAAAAACATCCTTTCCATTACGAACTTGAGCAGGGCAATAGGCTGCTGGGTCCCGTAAGTGTCCACCTGAGGGTCCACCAGCATTGAATGTTGTTAATTAGGAATCTGCGCCTTCAGGTTGATAGTGAAAGTGTGCAGCTCCCTGACTAGCTACACGGTGGTGCAGCGGCTGATAGAAGAAAGCACCATTTACCATTGGCATGTTGAGGTCATCCAAAAAGACCTTAAGCATCTTCCCAGAAGGAGGCCCATAGAGGCGCCCAATCCGTTTGTCAATATTATCTTCTAGAGCTTTCTGAAAGTCGAGGGAGGTAGTTCTGCTGCTGAAGTTCATTTGAAGCTGTAAGTATTTTTCACTATCAAGCGTGTTTAGCCAACTCTTTATCATCATAGACTTGGCGGTTCCTTCGAGTTTTCAAGCCACATCGCACATGAAAACTGCTTTATTGAGACATTGTATCCTGCTCTAAACTCTGCTCTAAACTGTACGATTAACAATGAACAAGGTTGGACCGTTCGTATCGGATCACGGTGCAACTTGTCGGAATAAGGTTCCCGCCAATTACACGCTTTTCGACTGACCTGACTCTCCAATGAAAAGAGTAGGAAGCGCCTTCGACGAAAAACCTTGTAGCAGCCACATTGCCCGGACAGTGTCTGTAGTCGGTACGAAAACGCTGGTGAACGACACACCTGCTTCTGGAGAATACTGGGGGATCTGAGTACCCCGCAAGGAAAAACAAACGACAACGCACTTCGAGTAGACAGCGCGGAAGAAATGACAAGCTTTCCTACAGAAGGCACTCAGTATGTGAAGAGGGTTTTGTGAAAGCAATCCAATTTCTTCCGTCTGAAGTGCTGACCTTAGACTCCCATGAAAGCCACGCGTTTGTTGGCAGGTCATAGAAGCTATCAAAGAGACTCTGGCTGATAGATGCTTTTCCCGAGAGTGTCTTCAGGAAAACGTCGAGACGTCGCTGCTCTTCACCTTTAAGGGTTGCTCCGAGGGACCAGACTAAGGAAAACAGAAACGCGTTTTCTAGCTTTTCTGCATTCGCCTCAGCGTAAACCTCATCTGGGACCATAATATCCATTAGTTTGCACAGCTGAGCAACCTGTTAATCACAAGCAGCTTGCGAAAAGCCAGATTTACATAATAAGCATTCAACAACTAAAGCAGTCAGCTGCCTACATGCCCCAAGTTTATAATGTTGGCCCAGTAATGACTCCCAGAAGACTAACCATGCTGACGTCTGTCCTCGATATGCATTTCGCAGGCACTGGCGCTTCATCGTCCCTTCCCTTTTCTTGCGAGATGAACGCTAAGCACTGACGGAGATACTTCTCGCACAAGTAGTCCAAAACTTCAAGCAGTTGCTCATTTGACTTGCTTCTCGCCCAAGTATCGTAGTAAGGTCCACTGCCAAGGTCCCTCTGGTCCACGTATACCATTCCACAGCGCGAAACAGTGGCTGGAGAGGCATACTGCAAGTCCGAAACCTGGAACACGGTAGTAAGTGGTTGACCCCACAGACACGACGTATTATGAGTTGAAAGCTTTCTGTAGCCTCAAAACAAGACACTGACCTTGGATATGATGGCTAACACGTGATAAACCCGCCCTCAACTTACCTCAAAGAGCAATGCACAGTGCTTTTCCAGCCGAATGCGTTCACCGTTTGATAACGTCAAAAGCTTGTTGTCGTCCATCACAGAATTCATGCTCTCCACCCAAACTGCGTCCACATCGCCGTCAAAGAGAATAAAGCGCTTTTCTTTCCTTCCAGGCGGTAGTGGCTGGTTGGCATCGCGGAAAAGCTTGGAGAGGAGACCGTCCGTCCAATCACGCGAGACAGGGTCTGCAGATTTCATGATATAGAGCGCTGCCTATAAATATTTTGTGATGAATTCCAGGCCTTACGCCCTGACAACTGCACGTTTTGGTGCAATCTGCAGGTGTATCAGATCATTAGGTCGCAATTTTGCTTCAAGCTGATGTTAGTTGCCACGTCATCACGATAAACCCTACCAAGCACTCCGTAGAGCTCATCAGTTCCTTGGGCCTTAGGATTTATGGGAAGAATCTTCACCACTTCATCAAATGCTGCCTTATGAGCAGCTGCGAAGGTTTCTATAATCACTGTTTTCCCTCCTCCTGTTGTCCCAACAACCATTGTGGAATGCCTAGTTTCCATTGTCTCATGCAGTTGAACAACTTTATCTACTTGGTTCTCGAACTCTCGCCTAGACCGACACTTAAGTCCTTTGCTTTGAAGCTCCTGAGGAACAACTACCTCACAGCAAGCCTACATGATGCCTCTTGCTCCATGCACTCTTGCATACAGTGTAAACATATCCTATATGTATATATTGAGCCGAATGCTTGTGTCCACAGAAACTGCTCTAATCTCCTCTGTGTCACAGGAATAGGCCAGCGTCTTCATTTGATAGCAGTGCTGTGTGTGTCACACGCCCGTTCTGGAAGTTTTTGAAAGTTGCACAGCTCCCACATTTAATGGCCTACCAGCTCGACGGCCTCTTTGAGGCTAGGGAGCATCGTTCGCTCGCAGGTGACACTTGGAAATAAATCACTCAGTAGTCCAAGAAATAGGGGAACATCTGGCTTTACAAGCTTTGGAATGTTCATGTCGCGGAGGGCTCGCATTAGCAGCAATTCATCTGGGGTGTCTGGAGTCAAGCGCTTCATCGATCCAGCGATGACGAGAACGGCCTTCAGTGCTCTCAGTTGGAAATCGTAAAAGTGCTGCAGGCACATTTTGGAAAACAAAATTATGCACAGCCTTATGTCTCAAGCTCTTCGGCGCAGAGAGGTCACATAGTAGGACGAATTGTATCATCTCACCTGTTTTGACAACTGGGCTAGTGCCAGCCTGTACAGGACAGTCATCTTTCTAGCTAATATTCGCGCATTCTGGAAACCTTCAGAGATTAGCATTATTTCGCAGATCATGGCCATGTCTGGTACGGTCATTGTTGCAGGACGGAATAGGGCCTTGAGGTTATCGGGAAGCTCCGACCTGCACTCGAAATGGCAGCCTTCCGCCCTCTACAAGCCATTGTTCTCACACGTGTTCATGCCTGCCTAATTGCATGCCATTGAAGCAAGTCAAGACCGATGCAACGTCACAAAGAACTCACCGTCCTGCATATCCTGGATTCATTGTCACGAAAATCCCGACTGTGGGCACAAACTTCAAGATCTTGCCCAGAAGTTCTACCGAACCTTTCCCGTTCTGCAAACTCGTTTGGATTGCTTTGATTTGAGCCGATATTACAGACAACACCTCTGGATTAATACGGTTGAACTCATCAAAGCACCCCCAAAAACCTGCAATCGAGAACGAAAAGCCACAGGAGAGCTGGATTTACTCTCATGTCGCATACATTGTAGGCGATAGTGCGTTTGGAGGTACGGTGCTGCTTTTAACATAGCTTTTAAAATATGTAGTGGTGTTCATACCAGTCTGAACAAGCCCTGAAAAAATAGTGCCCATTGCTTTGTAGTCCAGGCCCTCCCCACAGTTCTGAACGACACATCGGGTTGCTAGAGATTTGGCCAAGTCCTTTACAGTTTCGGTTTTACCTGTACCAGCTGGACCAGCAGGAGCGCCTCCCAAACAAAACGTAAGAGCTGTTGTGAGGGTCATGATGCATCTGTCCGTGAGAGGTGTGATGACTAGGTGGCCGTTGAGACCTTGATATTCATATCCATATCTGGGGCAGAAGCGAATAGGATTGCACCGAGCGACCAAAATAACAGAAGAATCTTGGCTAAGAGAGATGCTGAGAACAGCTCCAGAGAGACATCTGGCAAAGCTACTACCTCACCTGAACTTCCCTGTGCACTGCCGTATTTCAATATCGTCCATAGATATATCCCAGTAAAATCGCAACTGGCTTTCCCAGTCGAAGCTGTCAGCGCTATAAACGGCATTCTGGACGAAGCGCTCAACGAGATCACGAGCGTGCACGTCCAGAATGATTAGAGTATTCACTTTTTTCCTGGCCTTATACTCTAGTGGCTTCCTCACCACTTCGATCAAAGAGCTAACCTGGTCACAGCCGTCCGCAATGACGGCAAGCGCGCATACATATGCACTTGTCGGCAAAATGTTGAAGGCTTTTAGGCCGAATCTAGCGTGTAGCTTGAGTGAAAGGTCAGCTAAAAGGGGTTTGATGGCTGTCCACTTGTGTGCTTTGTCAGCTGTTTACTACCTGTTGACGCTGAACGGCTGCCTCTTCTCGGAGAGCGTTTTTATCCCCCTTTCCCATCCTTTCAAAGGCGTCTTCAACTCGCCAAGTCCACCAGATGCACGATCCTACACATGCGACCATGCCAAGTTGCTCGGTAACCCACTGGTTCCTGAAAACAGCGCCTGATATATTCAGTCTG